GCCATAAATTAAGTATCACAGGTGCTTACACACCCATACAGAAAAATAATATTACATTCAAATCCTTGAGAGTGTCGAAGTCTTCTTCCGCTTGCATCCACCGGCGGCGCGCCGTGCGCATAGCTCGATGTTGCCACCAGGCTTCCGCCTCGGCGGAGCAAACTTGTTTGAACTGGGAGCTTGTAGAAGCCGTGGCCGGGAAGACGCCATCGACTGCGATCTGCAAAGCAAATTGCCGTCATGAAGAAGAATACACCAGTAAAGGACATGTAGAAACTTTGAAGACCACAAAAGCCAACCGAATCCAGATTGATCCATTGAAAATCAAATCACCCGGATCTCGAAAGACCCGCTAGATACCCGACTTCACACGCCCTCCGCCAGTGATAAGCACACCAACGGGACAGATGGAAAGGGCTAGGGAGAACATTATTCCTACACCGGGGCAACGCCATCGTCTCGCTTCCCCAAACCAAACACGACTCCACAAAGAAAGCAAGAAAAAAACACTCATGCCGTTGCACGCCAGGTTTGAGATTGACGTCGAGCTCGCCGTCCAGGACCATGCACCGCCCTCCTGTTCTCTGATGCCTAGCCAGGCCAGACCTTCGCTAAAGATCGCTGCACTGGAACACCAACGCCGTCGTCGAACATTGCCTGTTGGAGACCGCAACTTGGTAACACATCCTCGTTGCCAACCCACGACAGTCCACCGACCCTCCATATCAGGCTCCCACGATCAGCAGCCTCCCTGCCGCCGCAAGCGGAGCACCCTGTAAGGGTCACGATCGATCTACGAAGAGGAGCTAGGGTTCATGGTGAAATGGGGAATTCGGTAGCGTGCTTTTCCTCCCAACCTCCCTCACTGCTACAACTGGATTACAATCGGCCGGAGCCGTCGTCCAAGTCCAAGCCAAGTCAATTCGAATGCTACAGGTTTGAATTTAACTACCGAGTCCACTCTGGGCCACCGTTCTACCTGGGCTTTGCCTTGGTTTGAGTGTGCCGCGCCGCAGGCCCGCTCGGAGCCTTGGTCCTTGTCATTGCTTCCTCGCTTGCCGGATGGTGAACAGTATCTAAACCTGTTGCCGCTTGGTGTCGATCTTCAGTACTCTTCACATGTGGGTTAGCGTCGCTGACAATCCTCCCTCCTTGAGAACCGGCTTGTCCCCAAGCCGGAGCACGGGAAACTGTTGCTTGAGAAACTCCAAATCTTCCCAAGTGGCATCAGCTGGTGAAGAATCGGACCACTGGACCAGTCCTCGGACGATAGTATGGTTACCAACCTGACACACCTTTCTCTGCAAAACTTGGACTGGAACTTGAAATGCAGCTTGAGGTGTAGGCGATGATTGACTGATAACAGCTTCTCAAGGCAAAAACCGTTTCAACTGCGAAACATGAAACACAGGATGCAAACGGCTGGTTGCAGGAAGATCCAACTTATATGCTTAGTCCCCTATCTTTCCAAGACCTGGAATGGTCCATAAAACTTGAAAGCAAGTTTATGGTTCGCTCTGGAGTACAACGACAATTGAGCATACGGTTGCATCTTCAAGAATACCTGATCTCCTATTGCAAAACTTCTTTCAGACCTTTTCTTGTCAGCTTGACTTTTCATGTGCTGTTGTGCCATCAACAAGTGTTGTCTAGCTGTCTTTGTAATTGCTTGATGAGATTCTTGCATTTCTACTGGTGCAATTGTATCAGACTCACTAACACCAAAGTATCTTAGAGTGTACCCATATAGTATTTCAAAAGGAGACTTCCCCAGAGTAGAATGCCAGTTGGAGTTATACCAAAATTCACACAATGACAACCACTTACTCCATTTGTGAGGTTGAGCACTAATGAAACACCTGAGATAACACTCCACCTGTTGGTTCACTCTTTCAGTCTGCCCATCTATCTCGGGATGATTTGATGTGCTCATGTTCAACTGAGTCCCAGTTCTAGCAACCAACAGCTTCCGGAAAGTACTAGTGAAAATTGGATCTCTATCA